TGAAAAAGACAGCACATGCTCAGACATCTCCTTCGGGCGCAAGGCCCCCGCGCCACCCCGCTCAGTGCGCGGTCCGGTGGAATATTCGCCTCACTTCGGTTGGCGGCGGTGTGAATCGAGAAACCGCCCGCTTGCGACTGGAAGAAGGTTGGGCGGCCGAAGCAGTTGGTCCGGGCGGGTGAGAAGAGGACAAGCCCCGCCCCGCCCCTTTTTTGCCAGTGCTGGGCAATTGTGAATTCACAGAACTACAGTGCGAGAGAACTGGCAAGACTGGAACAAACTTGCTGCAGCTTTCAAATGCAATACTTAGCCTCCAGATTTTACTCATTCATTCATTCATTCATTCATTCATTCATTCATTCATTCATTCATTCATTCATTCATTCATTCATTCATTCATCATGTTGTATATATTAGCTGCCCATCAGTTCAAACAGAAAAAAACCCACACCCCTTCCCTCCCTCCCTTTCCCCTGGTAATCATCCAGGAGAAGCTTCAAATTACCTCTTCAATCTGGGCGCTCAAAGCAGCGCAGATGGCACTCTCTGTGTGCCACAGAGTTTGTGGCTCCTAGCCTGACCTCTTAGTCACCTCACTGACCCAAAGGAGGTCTGTATCTGTCTCATCTCGGAAGGGTTGCCTGAGGGCCCTCCTTCTCTCGTAGCTCAGAAGACTCAAAGCACAGCGTCTGGTCTCTGCGGAACAGCCACGAAGCCTGACTACGCACGCACACACGGAGAGCAATGCTTCCCACCAAACAAAGTTCCCCTGCATTTAGAGATGGGAAGGCTTGGGAAGGCTTAATACAAGCGTTGATGGCCGACGGCAGCCAAACCAGAGCGCGCACTTCTGGTGTCTCTTTTGCCATGACCCAGCCTGTTGCTTTCTATCCTCTGACCGGCTTGAGTCTTTGGGCATCTTCCACCCTCTTGGACACACCCCACAGCTGCTTTCTTCTGCAGGACTGGGAAGGCTCTCCTGCTGTTGTCATTGGTGATCTTGCTGCCTGGGCATCCCTCAGTGGATGAATTGCCGTTTGCCCTCCTCCACTGGCAGAGTGTTAGAACTCAGTCCCATGTCTTAGGGAAACCTGCAACCCTTGATCGGTATTTGGATGGGAGACACTCAGGAAATGCTGGGGTTGGAGACTAGCCTGGGAAGTGGAAACATGTGGGAACATGTGGCAAAACACGTCCATATTATGGACAAGGAAGCAATGTGAGCACGCCTACATAATCACCGGGAGATGAGCGTGAGTTCAGGGGGTTCACTGCTTTCTGTGCTGAGAGGTACTTCTTCGTGGATACTGTATGCTTATGTAAGGCCTGGCTGTTCCTGAGCATCTCTGGCCCTCCAGACTACTGGTCCACATTTCCCCAGTAGAACCAGCTGAGTGACTTTGGGCCAATCTCTCTCAGCCCAACCCACCTCACAGGGTTGTTGTTGTGGGGAAAATAGGAGGTAGGAGTATTATGTATGCTGGCTAGAGCTGTACAAAATGGGGGCAGGATATACATCTAACCGCAACAATAAGTTGCCCTTTGTGCAGTCCAAAACTAAAAACAGGCCTTCAATATGTCGTCCCTTCCAGAGCTCCCCCCTTCTCTGCTTGGTTGGGGCTGTGGAAGGGACGGCACATTGAAGCCCATTGCCACTGCCACCTCTGTGCTTCTTGGGTGGCCCTTCAGTAGGGCTGCCTTTCAGCCCACCTCTCCATGGGTCTCTGGCAGCACCCCTAATGACAACCCTTTGGTTTTCCATGGGTCACAACTGTGGGCCCCTGCAGTGCTTTCTCTTCTCTTTTGGAGAGTAAATATTCAAGAATAACCTTGCGGGGGGTGGGGGGCAGGAGGTGGAGTCTTTCCTCAACCCACGCTTACTCCTCTGAGCAGCAATGTTGCCCATCCAGAGCGCCAGGGGTCTCCCGACTGCAGGAAATACCCAAAAAGGGCAAGCAATGCACTGGGGGGAGGGGTGGGGCAGGAAAGATTCACATGCGCCCGGCATGCTTGGTGGCTGGCTGGGAGAAAGGTCTTGGCCTGGGGGGGAGGGCACTTGATAAAAATGTCAAAGCCAATGTTACAGTACTTCTAAAACCAGCCGATGGGCAGATCTGGTCAGGAATCCAAATGAAATGCCGTATTGCCACACACCTGCATAAAACGGATTGACAAAGCAGAGCAAGAAGACGGGCCAGATGATCCAAGGGTTTGGCAAGGCTCCCGTGATGGACGTTTGCTGCAAGTGCAGCTTTTCAGGCTTGTTGGATGTACAGTAAGAGCAGCGGTGAAGGTCCCACTGCCACGCTTTCTGCCGCTGCCCTTCTAGCCTGTGTGCCCTCTGAACTCCCTGCCAGCAGGGCCACGACTGGAGTAAACCGCAGGGAAGCTGAACATGGGAGACCAGGCTGGGGTGGACTGACGGCACGCCCTCTACTGCTGGCTGGTTTCACCCGCTTTGTGAGCACAGAATGCACCGAGCCAAAGTTCTTCCCGGCAAAGAACATTGAGAATGCAGCCCCTGGACCCGGAGCTATCTCTGGTTCAGGGCGTTGTGCGAGCCAGCCAGAAAGCCGCTGCCTTCAGCCCAAGGAGGCGGTGGATCGGGTGCCTTCAAGGATCAGGAGCTACAGAAGGGGCTGGCTGCATTGTGGTCCTGCCTCCCATTCTGGGCTCTGCTGTGATGCCATCCTGGGACGGGTGCTTCCTTGCGTTTGCGATGCAAGCGGTCTGGCCTGTACCTTCCTCAGGTCAGAGGCTCTTCCGGGCTTAACTGTCCTCAACAGACTCTGAAGAAGGCTAAGATTCAGATGGCCCCAATCCTGTTGGCCTTCTATAAGGTACTGAAGACCTGGCTTCTTCCTCAAGCGTTGGGGCTGGTGGTTAGGTGAGCCCATTGATTAGGTGCTCTGGGTCTGTCTGTCTGTCAGAAGGGATTTATTTAGACCTCTGGCACACTGTATATTGATTGTTACTGTAATTGTTTCTCAATGTTTGGGGTTGCTCTTTTGTTTTATTGCTGTTAGCCACCCAGAGTTGCAGCAGGGGGATGGGTGGCCATATAAATTGCTTAAATAAATGAATAATGGTCACAGCAGCAGCCCACCTCTCTTGTCTTTAGATGTCTGGGCAAATACAATATACTGGAATAAAACCTAGTTAGATAGTCCTCCCCCACCAAGTCCTGCCTCATCATGGCACGGGGTGGGGGGAGTTCCTGGGAGGGACGAGCAGAGAACGTTGGGAGCGTGTGCCACGGGCAGGGCCCCCCACGGCGTGAAGGTCATCTCAGCTGCCCAGCTAAAGCCAGCAGGCAGCAATACAGGGAGATGCCGGAGGCAGAGGATCAC